TCCGGGCCGTGGCCCGCCCGCGTGGAAGTCGCCGCCGCCGCCGCTCGTTCGCCCTCCCGTCCGTCCGCCCTCCCGGTCGCCATCATGCTGGCGCTGATCTCCCGTCTACTGGACTGGTTCCGCTCGCTCTTTTGGAAGGAGGAGATGGAGCTCACGCTCGTGGGGCTGCAGTACTCGGGCAAGACCACCTTCGTCAATGTCATCGCGGTGAGCGCTCGCCGTCACCCGCCCCCAGCTTTTCAGCCGGCAAGCCCGGCCGGGCGCCTCCCTGAAGGCTCGAGGTCCCCCCACCCTCCCATCCCCAGTGTCATGGAGCTGATCGGGGGCTGGGGGCTGTGGAGCCGGCCCTATCACCTCCCCGAGGGCCAGTGTTTGGAGTTACCCGTGTGTGGGCAGCACACGTTGTCGTACTGAGATCGGCGGCGGAAGGGTTAATTTAATTTAGTCGTGTTTATTAAAGGGCTGTGTCCTCATTGCGGCGGGACTTGGAAAGGCTTCACTTGGGCTTGCCATAGTTTTAAAGCGCTTCAGGGATGGGGGTGTCCCTCAGGTTTGCGCCGTGGGGGCAGCTGAAGGGTTAACTTCCGTCCGTCACTTTCCCGAAGGGTGGAATTCAGTGAGTCCTTCAGTCCTGGGAGAAAGCAGAAGAATGAAGAGCTTCTCTCAAGTTGCCACTTGGGACGAAGAGTCTCGTGAACGCGGGAGGCCAGCGTGGGCGCCTTCCTGGATTCCGTGGGCTGCTTGTCCCCTCTCATTCAGTTGCTCGTTTTCACCTGTCCCCGTATGGGCGGAGATGAAGCTGTTTGCTGTGCTCACTGGTAGAAGCTGGGGAGGGACAGTTCCAGCAAGTCCATGGTAGTCCAGAGTGTTTATTAAGTCAAGGGATAAGGCGTCTCTGCTCTTCCAGAGCTACCTGTCTTAAGCGAGTAGATAAGATGGATCTGCAGTCATCGTAAAGTTAACTACCCTGCCAAAGAGGGGCTGGTCTCTTGAGGATGTTTCTCACTTGAAGAGAAGGGGAGGGATTGGGTGGCAACATTGCTTATTTCAGGCTCGGAGAACGGGTGTCTGGGAGGGAAATTGCCTTGAGGACTTAAATACAATGTGGTGTTTACTCAGCAGTGGTTAGTAGAAAAATTCAGTTTTGCGTGTTTGGTTGGTTGGGGAAGAAATAGGAATGAAAGATTTCTCGTCCGTCTTTATTTAGAACCCAGGAGTTACTGTGACTCAGTCTTAGGTGATAGGGGCTTGTACATGCAGGGATGAGCTTTAGAACTGCTCTAAAGAAAGATGGCACCAGTTCTTCCATCTTTTAGATGACTGTTGAAATCCTTATTTAATAGGAGACTAGCTGTCCGACTGGTTTGGTTACAGGAATGATTCAAACACGGCTCCCTTGCTGGAGAAAATAGGTAACTTGTGACTCTTAGTCCTTGCAGTAATAGAGCAACAGGAGTGAGTAAGATTTGGAGAGAAAAAGATAAGCAGAAACCCAAAGTTCCTCTGAGGAATGCATATAAGGGTAAGGAAAATTTCTTACTTGTCGTTTGGCTCCTTTTGTAATATGACTTCTTTTGTTTTGGCTTTGAATGACTGTCTTTTCAACAGGTATAGGAGTGTGGAATGTATCTAATACCACTAAAGTTAATAAGGAAAACCAAACTTTGGGCTGTGTATTCATATTAGAACCTTTATGTGATATGGAAAAAAAATTTCTTGCTTATTTCATGCTTATGTTTTCAGTGTGCAGTGTAGTTTAATATAATGATCATGAACTTTGAAGTCAAGCAACTTGGATTTGAAATCTGGCTCTGCCACTGAGCAGCCTTGTACCCTCTTTGAGTACTTGCTTTCTCATCTGTTAAGTGGAGATGATAATACGCTTCTTACAGAGTTGCTCTGAGGAGTAAATGAAGTGAAAGATGTTAATACTTAACTAGCACCATGCCTGCCCATAGAGAAGGGATAAGTAAATGGTAACTCGTTACTATTCATGGTGGGCATACCCATTAATGCAGAAACAATGTTTTGAAAAATATTGAGAAGGGACTCAGCTGGTATTATTTCCTTCTTTGAATTTCTGTATGTAACCAGATGTGGGCTGCAGTAGTAGATTCATGGATTGTGGAAAGTAATCACATCATGTCCTCACTCCCCTACCCTCCTTTGCATTAGATTATTTTACTTAACAACAGCAAAACTTCTGCAGAGCTGTTGAATTTGAACCAGTGGCTCTACTCCTATCTTAAGTAGACTATTCTTTTTTAATTGTAATGGTGTGTGTCACCACAAAAAATAAGTGAGGTGATGGATATGTTAATTAGTTTAGTTTAATCATTGCACATTATATACATATATCAAAACATCACATTGTATTCCATAAATGTATGATTATGATACGCCAATTAAAAATAATGCTAATTAAAAAAAGAAAATACGGACTGTAATTGGCTGTGGCCTTTAAGATACTGAAAAGGAGACCTTGGTAAATTTCGTGTATGTGTTAACCTCAGACTCTCATCTAGTCTGTGATTCTTACAAACTATATTGAAGGTGAGGACAAGGTTGGTGATTAAATGTGGGCTGTCTGGTTAGCTCAGTTGGTTATAACATGGTGGTCAAGAGGATCCCCTACTGGCCATCTGTCCAAAAAAAAAAAGTGATTGTAACAGATTTTCAGAGATAAACATTGTATCCAAAACAATAAAGTTAGCCTTATCTTTAAAAAAAAAAACAAAAAACTGCACTATTCTTTGTATTTTGTATGAAATATTTGATTTATAGAATCAAAAATACAGAGGCATTTAGCACTATGTGTCACTTTAGAAAGCTGGCCATTTATTTATTTATTTATTTATTTAAAGATGGCTGGTAAGGGTATCTTAACCCTTGACTTGGTGTTGTCAGCACCACAGTTACCCAGTGAGCGAACCGGCCATCCCTGTATATAGGGATCTGAACCCATGGCCTTGGTGTAATCAGCACCACACTCTCCCAAGTGAGCCATGGGGCGACATGGCCATTTATTTATTCAAATTCAACAAGTAACTTCCTAGGTATGAAATGATTCAGGTGAAGCCAACTTTCTTTTTGTAAAAATCAACTTTTTGTAAACATCGAATTAAAATGTCGCTATATCTGCCTTAAAAGTAAGATTTAATAGATGGTCATTTAACTTACTTAAGAGATTATGAAGCTGAATTACTTATGTGTAGGGTTTGGTTCAGTTCTAAAAGATGCGGCACCTTAGTTACAGACAGGTTCAGTCTTAAAATGCATCTTTTTTGGATTTTAAAACTGATATATCTCACGTTATCTAATATTTTTTCTTTTTTTGTTTTATTTATTTATTTTCATCTAATATTTTATGTAGAGGCACTTGTATATGTGTATTCTCTTTTGTTTTAGACATTGTAAAAAAATACTACGGGTCTTTGATTTTCTGATTTGTGTTAGGTAATGAATACTGCCCATTGCTAACTATTCTGGTGGTTATTGCATAATAAGTCACGTGTCCTATATGTGTAATGTATGTTGAGTAATCTTTATTTATTTATTTATTTATTTTTTCCTTTTTGTCTTTTTTTCGTGTCCGGCAAC